TATATACTAATATATATATAATATATAATTATAATCGGCATTATGTATGTATATATATGTATGTGTGTTTGTGTACGCATTGTATGTACAACTTAACTATTTTTATATCCGCTGTGTTTGTTAAGTTTCCAAGTACCAAAATAATTTAAACTACAAAATAATAAGAAATATCATAATGTCTCTTTAGATCATAATTAACAGTATACTAATTTCAAAGACCGTTCGCAAGTTTATTATGCGGATTGTTATAGAAAAATATAAAATTGCTAGCGACTTTATCGAGGTCTCCCATTAAAGGGTTCTTCTATCAGGATTCTTCGCGATAATCGTTACGATAAAGTTTCTCCTAGTTGTGTCGTTCGCCCGAATGTTAAATAAATTATATTAATAAATACTCTTAGCGCACCCCGAACGCGGGGTGAAGGAACCGTGTAAAGCTAATCGAATGTTAATATTAAGTTGTCACGTTCTTGGCACTTGTTATTAAAGAAAAAAGAAAGAGCCATACTTCTTTTTCCAGGATTATATACATAGCATTTTTGAAAGAGACGAATACAGGAACTTTTTAGTAGATGCAATAAGAAAAAAAAGAATAAAGAGATTTTTATAAATACATTCGCGATTGATCACCGCTTATTTTTTCCCTCCACTTAACTTTTTTACTAAATTGGAAACAATAAGATTTTCGCATCACTTTTACACCATAATGCTGAAATCTGATTGTGAGATCTCCCGCATCACAACAGACCTGTTTGTTCCGTTTGCATTTTAGAGATTATAGTTTATTATTATGTATACACATTTTACATATTTATATATCTAATCTTTTTATATAGAGAATTTCCATTTATACATATATTCATTTATATATATTATTAGGTCTATTCGATCTTGTGTTTTCAATGTTTTTCACTCAATTTTCAATATTTTCTCGAAATTTTCAACGTTTTTTCCATAAGGGCAATGCTTACACAACTATGATATCGTTTTTTTCTTCCTTCTCATAGATTTTAGATTAAATTGAATCTCGATCCATCCAGTACCATGATGACATAAACTGTGAGAAAATCTGCCGTGCCGCTTGACGGGAGACAAGCTTATGAAGGTTTCTCTAAATGGTGAATACCCGTTTTCTATAATAGCATACCTAGGTAATATGCATACAAAGATATATCCATAGAATGGATTCTTTCCGGACACTGGACAGACTTCATATCAGTATATTCATATATTTGCGTTATTCTCTTTATACGTATACTAGAATTTCAGAAGATCATTTGCTTTTATCTGCGCACAGCATTTTTTAAGCAATCTTTCTGCTGCTACGCGACAAAGTTTTAGAATGACATATCGCGTATTCCAAATTCCTTGTGCCACATCTCTGCATGATTTTAAAGACAAATATAACTGTAGTTATCTACTAAGTATAAGTTCATAACTTTTTTGCGTCATCTAACTTTGCGTTTGTCTGCTCATCTATTCTCATCTTTTTTTACATTTTATTTTATTTTTGTTTTTATTATTTTTATTATTTTTAATTTTATTTTTATATTTTACTTTATGTATTCAATTTCCACTATTATTATATTATTTGATTTTGTATAATTTTTCGACGCTTGAGAGAATTAGTTTCTAGAGTGCTTAATAAATAATATAATAACGATATATTATATAATAATATAATATAAATAACGATATTTATCTATTTATCTATCTATCTATCTATCCATCTATCTATCTTTGTTTTTTAAGGTAATGGGAAAAATGTAAAAAGTGTAGATAAGAAGTGTTGTGATTCTCGACGCCATGATGAAAATTTCTCTTGAATACTCTTGAAACAAAAAATCGCGTTATTCACTTTCTGACTTAGTTTCTCGTTACAGAGCTGCAAGAATAATGCAGGATAACGCAGAACAATCGACTGTGCAAACATTAATGATGTCAAATATCGCGTCTTTCGAACGATGTGTCATAAAATTGGTATGCTATTTCACACAATTATATTCCTATTATCCGCGAATTGTTTATTATGTATATACTAGCGCAAGTAATATAAAATGTTATATCATTAATACTAAAAAAATAATTTACATAAAAATATACGTTTCTGTTTTTCTGACGTTACGTAAATTCTGACGTTACGTTTCGTAAATTCTACGCGTTTTCAAACATAACTATTGTGTTTAAAAAAATATTAGATTCTAAATGCATTCATTTTAGAATCCATTATCTGCGCAGTTCAATCATTAATTTTGAATTATTTAATAGGATATTACGCATTCTTAATTTAATTTTCAAATGATATTTTCTAATTTATTTTTTATGACATTAACTGCGTTTTTAATTATCAAATTTTACATTTTAATTCACTGTGTTGTTATAAAAGTAAAGTGGAAACATTTTATCCCAGCACAATATATTGTTAGTATAATATTATTCTAT